GCATCAGCAACTCTTTGTTTTCTGTTCTGTAAAAAACTAATAATCCATGACCCACCCAGGTCTCGCACACTAATCTCTCGACCCCAAGTCCGGTGCACCAATCCTGGATGGGTTGGCTAGTTAACCATCCTCTTCCCTTGCGATAGTTGACGAGAGAAATGCACGGCGTGTAAATCTGATAATATTTTTTCTTACCCTTACTCGGAATGAATTACTCGATGGGGTTTGGGTTGTGGTTGTCAATCCTTTCAGTATCAACTCGAATTCTCCATATCATGCATTTTTAACGCCCCACCCCAGCCTTCTGCCTCTCCACTCCCAACATTTCTCCTCAGAAGTTTTAATCATTTATCTAAACTGATCAACTAAAACAAGTTTTTTTTTCCTTTTCCTTCAGACGGGAGGTTCAAGCAGTGAAGACTCGTTGGAATTCAGTTCAGAGGATACCTTCTGTCCCTCTATAAGTTATACATCAGAAATATGGAAGACACCGGAAACATTCAACGCGCCATCAGAGTCAGAAGTTCAGGTGAAACTTCGCTCTCTACCCATACAATGCTGTTTCTTGTTTGCATGCAAAACGAGGGATCAGTTATTCTGTATCGACTGGAGGGTTGGAGGATTTTGGGAGGATGACTCTGTTTTCAGGGGGAACAGAGTATTAAGGGGGAACTATGATCAAATAAATGACCTGTCCCTAATATCGTGGAGCGCATTTGCATGTTTTCCCTATCTTGTTTCATTTCATAATGACAAAGAAGAGTTGGACTGGATCCTAAGGTTGACTTTCTAGTTTCTTTTTATCATTAGCGAGAGCAAAAACCTCACTGCGGGTCAGCCCTGAATGATAATTTGTTTGCAGCTAAAAGTTAAAAACAATTTTGATTAACTATATTTAACTACTGTGGGCATCAGACACTGAAGAGAATTGTCGATACTAGGTATAAGTGGAAAAAAAAAGGTCCATAATTCGTATACTTGTGGACGTAGAATCGCAAATTTTCATGCGCGAAGAACTTTTAAACCTGACTTCGCAGCAGCATTTTTATTGTTTAAGAAATTTATAAATTATTTTATCTGGAGAACTGAGAGTTGGGTCATGTTCCCTATACAATTTATTAAACGTTATAAGATACAATGAATATATGAAGTTCATATATTTTTTGAACTGCGGTTGTAGATACGTATAATGCACGATCCTCGCAGTAGAGAGCGCTATTTATGCAATAGCGAGAATCAGACCTGAAAAAAAATCAGGCCTTTACGGGATTCGAACCACTGACCTCTGCGATACTAGTGCAGCGCTCTACCAATTGAGCTAACAAGCCAACTGGGAGCAGGCCGTTAAGTTGATTCGTAATAAACCCGTGATGATAAATCAG